GACGATTTTTCGTCTGTAATTGGTGGGTTTAGCTTGAAAAATTTTCAGTGATTGGCTGAGGGTTATGAACTCTTAACTATTCCCGATATTACGGCAACATAGCTTGTTGTCTACCGCACTACACGCGCACCCGCAGGCCACTCCCCCAGACTTCGGGCGCTGCTGCGGCACTCAGGTCACGGGGCTGATTTAATGCGGTGTCACGGTGTCGTGCTTCGTAAAATTAGCGATTCAATGCATCGGAAATGTGGCTTGAAGACCTCGCTTTGTGGCCCTGGCAGCGAAAAGACGCTTTCATTGCCTTTGCGTGAATTTAATTGCTTTTCCCCAGGACTTGGCGCGGGAAGTCGCCTTTGACATTTTATAACAAAACTCATACCTGTTCGTGGAAATAATCATAAACATGTAGATAGAATTGTTTTGCAAGACAATCTCAGCATTCAGTTTTTTTCATATTATTTTTAAGGAACAGATAAAGCCTTCGTGTCAATAAAGACTTCACGTGACGCTGCTTAGAGTAAAAGACGGAGTCTCGGATTGCTGCTTAGCATGCAGGTCGATCGTATGATAAGGATAGAAATTCATAAAATTGGGAATATAGGTAGAACCGTTGAAGATTAAATAAGCCGACGGTTTGAATAACTTCAAAAGCGGGTATAGGACGCCCACGTAGCGAGCGGAGCTATAAAAGCAGGGACGTAGAAGAATAGTCAGTCAGAGCGTGGCGGACAGCGCTGCGTACGGACGTGTGTCAATAATCTGTGAAGGAGTCTCGTGTTGGAGGCTGGGTAATCTGTGACGAAGTCGTGCTGGAAACCGGAGTAACTTTGAAGCCGATACTACCCGACCTGCGAAGATTCTGCTGTCCTAATCTTGATTTACCGGCAATCGTTCAACGACTCGTCGTGCTGGAGACCGGGGTTAGTTGAAGCCAACGCCACGTGTAGAACAAAGAAGATACTGATGTTCTAATCTTGATTATCGACAATCGTTCATCGACGAGAAACCTATGTACACCGAGACAGAATTTTATTCCGGAATCTAGTATCCACGGCAAGGAAGAAGGCACCACTCCAAATACTGGTATTGCCGGATTACAACGAGCATCATTTGCAACAACTACGACGTGAGCCTGGTCATACGCACTCAGAGTGAGTTCCATCGAAGCCAAGTCCTACGCAAGTCCGAGCAGTAACCCTTCGCATTAGACCGCAACATCGAAGAAACCGACGTCAAATCCTGGTGCGAGTCCCGAAGAAGTCAGAAGTCGGCCAACGCTCAACTGCCTTCCAGCCGGTGATGTACCCCCTTTTCTTTTGAATCGATGAAATACCATCCCCATTTTCGCCCCCTTCATTGGTACTATTGTGAGGATTGAACTATTAGCGTGCATTGTAGCCTTCGTTGGGAATTGCCAATACGAGTAGGCTAAGCCTAGAGATTTGTTGCCAAATTTTGCCGGGCCCAGTTCTGTATTAGGATGGGAGTTTTCTGCCTTTAAGTATATAAGTGTTGACATCAATGTTTGTATCTTTTCCTTTGTCAATTCGTCGCCTAACTGCCAGTAGTAGTAGAGAACTTTCTATGCGCCTCTTGATCACTCGGATAACGAGAAATCTCGTGTAACCAACCTGACAGTATTTAAAAATGTTTAATTAAAAACTCTATCGAGATTTGACTAATAAACTATGGAGATAAATTGTCTATATTTTATTTATCTTGATCCATGTTGGAGCGCTCGAAACGGACGAACGGGGTGGTGGTAAAGGGACAGCTCAGGTGGTGGACGACAAAGGTGCTTAGGAGGAGGAGGCAACTGAACGATGGCGCTAAGGTTGGTCAAAAAGGCCGCCACTTTCACGGGACTGTCACACAGAGAGGATGGGAGGCAGTGCTGAGGTGGTTCCCAGATGGTACTGAGGCAGTGCTGAGGTGGTTCCAAAATGGTACTGAGGCAGTGCTGAGGTGGTTCCAAAATGGTACTGAGGCAGTGCTGAGGTGGTTCCAAAATGGTACTGAGGCAGCGCTGAGTTAGTGCTGAGGCAATGATGAACCCTTAGGCTTTATGCTGTCAACGTTTCAAGTACCCAAGAGAGCCCAGGAGGAGACCCGGAAACTTTAAATGGATCATTACGGCCAGCATTGCTGCAGAAATTACTTCATAAATAGCCCGATATCAGACTGATAGTAAAGAAGACCCAAAATTTAAACAATTCTAATCAGCAATACGTTTTAAATGCGTATATACTAACAGTAACATTTACACTCACCCCATTCACTCGATAGTAATAATCATCACTTACTTCACTTATAATCACCAGTCAGGCACAGTGACAAAACACTCATTCACGAATACTGACTTACTAATAACTCCCGCTCATCACTACTCACCATTCACTCATCTGTACTCACCACTCACTCATCACTACTCACCATTCACTCATCAGTACTCACCACTCACTCAGCACTACTCCCCACTCATCAGTACTCACAACTTACTCATCTGTACTCACCACTCACTCATCACTACTCACAATTCACTCATCAACATTACCCACTCATTCAAAACTGCTCACCACTCACTCATCACTACTCCCCACTCACTCATCAGTACTCACCACTCACTCATCACTACTCACCACTCAATCATCAGTACTCCCCACTCACTCATCAGTACTCACCACTCACTATTTCGTATATTTCACTCACTGATAGCTACACGTGACACAAAAGTGCTGCAAATCACCGCTTCTGATTGCGTTTCTAAATTCGCGGCACACGACACGCGATGCTCGCTTAATGTCGAGACTGAAGACCGTTAAATCGCTCTCCGGATAAGAACTACAAGAAACGAACTATTCTTTTTGGCTTCAGTTTAGTTTAATTTCCAAATGAGTCGTGTCTAAATGTTCAGCTTCTTTTCAAATTGGTCCGCGCCAAAGTGAAGTTAGTATAGTTCAGCCGCTCATGCGATGCTACTGGACTGATATCATTATCTGAGATCGATGTTGTTCACATGGTAGCACATTTGACAACGAACGCGATTTGTTCAAATATCAGTTCGTCACATAACGGTCAGGAAGTTGAAATTTCAAGTTGCACCATATTCATCAAGCAGCATGGAAAATGTAACTTTTGACAAACTGAAAGATTCATAACATGATCATTTCATGACCAAGAACAAATGAATGCATCTTATTTTTACGTGAAACAATTAAAAGTTATTTTTCAATTTTTCGATTTGGCTGAATTAAATAACTCCGTACAAAGAGAGAAATCACCACAGAACCTAAGTATGGAAAAACGAGACGAATGTGTACCAAAAATTGGATGAACATTCAAATTTTGAATAAACAATCAAAATGCTGTATTTCCAAATAATGAAAATACAGTAAATTCATTTTAATACTGCATTAATTTTTAATTTCAATGCTGTATTTTCATAAAATGAAACTGAAGGCCGAATAGTGTTCTTTTGCCGGGCCGCGCACCCTCTGGGCAAGTGTAAACAACTGNCAGAACCTAAGTATGGAAAAACGAGACGAATGTGTACCAAAAATTGGCTGAACATTCAAATTTTGAATAAACATTCAAAATGCTGTATTTCCAAATATTGAAAATACAGTAAATTCATTTTAATGCTGCATTAATTTTTAATTCTAATGCTGTATTTTCAAAAAATGAAACTGAAGGCCGAATAGTGTTCTTTTGCCGGGCCGCGCACCCTCTGGGCAAGTGTAAACAACTGGAGCATGTATATTTTAGTGCAGCAAGTGTAAACAACTGGAGCATGTATATGTTAGTGCAGCACGTGTATTTTCAAATAATGAAAATACAGCGTGAAGCTTGTTCGTCTTTCTGGATCAAAAGCTCGCTGAACGGCCATGAAGCCACATTTTCAATGCATGAACTCATTTCGTTCACATGCACGACACCGCGCGCCCCCCACTGCAGAGACCCGCCGACTGCGTCGAAAAGCGGCCGTAGTGACAGAAGCGTTCGCTGTTGAGAAAAATCAAACCCATCATAAGTAGTCTCTTGACAAGAAATGTCACATTCATAATATCATACATTAACATTCGAGACAAATAAAATTTCTACTCAAAGGCTTGTCATTAAAATTCGAGATCAGCAAAACTTCTGTGATAGCGTCGTTGTCAAACTATTCTTCATCTTTTCATTTCTCGTTAAACTGTGGGAATGAAATTCCGCTCCTGAATAGAAATAAACGTGCAGAAAATAAAATAATCATCAAGATATTATGTTTAAATAAACATTAATATATAGAATGTGGCAAATAATTTCAAGATATAAATTCATGGTTCATGGCGTCACTCAACGGTCCACTCATGCAAATGAAGCGCTTAAGTTTTCTTAAGCTCGTAAGGTGCTAATGTAGAAGCTGCTATACTCTGTTGAAAAAAATATTAAATTAATTTACATTAGCGAACTACTGATTAACTACAGTAATCAATGATCAAGAAATGTATAGTAGAATTATAGAAAATTGGCCTAGGGAGTAGCATAGCTGCAACTCTACTGCCAGCAAATAACGCAATTAGCGTCGATGTTTTTAATACAGCTACGTTACGTCAGCCCTATAAGGCTGCGAACGACAAGTACACGTTGCGCACGCACTGGACGCGACAACATATGTTCTAATATTTATATGTTATATTTTTAATAATAAAACTTTCACCGTATGACAGGTCAAAATGTTCTGTTATATGTTATATTTCTAATATTAAAACTCTCACCGTATGACAGGTCAAAGGAATTGTCGTAGAGAACGAGTGCCTCCTGACGACGGCTGTGGCCGCCCCCGTCCCATCTCAGTAGTTATTAATATAATATACAGTAGTTAATAATAAGATACAGTAGTTATTAATAAATTAATTAATATTGATTAACGTTACAGGTCATAGGGAACGTGGTGAGCTATGAGTGCCTCCTGACGACGGCCGTGGCCGCCCCCGTCCCGCTGGGTCTGCGTGGCGCCTGCAGTCTCATGTGCCAGCAGAATACTAGCTGTCACTTCTTCTGCTTAGTCAATGGTAGGAAACTTATTTGATTACTCCTGTGATTAATATTGGTGCTAACGTGTTTAGAGTTTGATTTATTTCAAAGATTATCAATAACTAATTAAAGTAAATTCATATATTGCGTAATAATTTCATCGTAAACTACTCTTGTTCTTACATAATTTTTCTTGTTAAACCAACTCAATAATGTTCGAAATTTGTACTTTTAGAAATAATTATAATTGTACTTTTAGAAATTTCCTAATTTAATATTAGGGATTCACTGGTACCTATTTTCACGTGAGTAATTCATGAATTAATTATATCGATTGTTTAACACGTTGACTCCGATTGCTTCATCATGTAAAATTATTTCATTTCTTGTAATATTGTGTGATTCAGAGTAACACAGACGGTCTTTTTTTCGGACAAATTCCGCGATTTAGTTTTTACTACTACGTTGGCCGGCTAAAATTTATGATAAGGGTGCAATTATCTAATTAAGTTCAAAAGGTGCGAAAAAATTGAATTTTCGCACCAGAACCTACATATATACTAATATATATTGAGTTATAGGTGTTTTTGGCCGTTTTTGTGCGCGGAATAGGCCGTTTTCAAGCCATCTAGCAACCCTGAATTAGGGTTTTTAAATTAAATTAATTAAATTTTTAAATTAAACCCTGAATTAGGCCGTTTTTAAGCCATCTAGGAACCGCCATCGTGGTACGCATATGAACCACTTTGGAGTCAACGTGTTAAATGTGCTCTACGTGTTCGTTCGCATTAGAATCAAGATACTAACTGTGGTTTTTATGCTCATCATTGCTATCCTAATTGATCAATGACCATATTTTTGTCGGTAACAGGTACAGGCACGTGCGCGCTGTTCAAAGCCTACGTCGCGGTGCGATGGCCGGGCCATCCTGCGTCTGCGTCCACCACAACGTACGACGCTTGCTACACGTCGTGGGGGGACCCCCGGGACATCGTCAAGACGAACTCCCCCTTCACTTACTCATCAGTCGACCATTCCCCATCGTATGCTACCGATGGATACGCCTGCTTATCCCCCAAATATTTCGTTACGCGGAACCTGCCTAATAGCTCCTCCCAGATAGACATGGAATACGTTACGCGAGTGCAGAAAGTGATTTTTGCCACGGCTTTCCCATTTACTGGCATGGACGTGATCCTCAGCAACACGAGTGACTATTCGCAGGGACAGAATATAGGACGACTTGATGTCTCCACGCCCGAGTGGTCAACGTACACCCTCGTCACCAACACCAGCGCGGCGGGACGGTACATCACGTTATACCAGGCAGCGACTAGCTACCATGGCTACGCCGAAATACAAGTCATTCCTCAGCCTTGAGTCTCTCATAATGACTTTACTTCATATTCCAGATATGGATTTCCTGAAGATTGGGGCAATGAACTTGTATGTTCTTAAGTAGTTCGGATTCACACTAAAAATGCCTTGTTTGATTTGCAGAGTCCTCTAATTCTTATAATTAAACTAATTATAAGCGCAAGGGATGGGACTCATTTTCATTATGAGTTGCACTCAAAATTGATTTGATCAACCCTAATTGAAAATTGTTAAGTTGAGTTCACGGCTAAATATATCCATCTTTTTGTTTAATTGTTCAAGAAATTGTAACAGGGAATGGTTGTCAATACGTTAGGACTGAAAACTAAGATCAATGGAACTCCTAATCTACATGCTATTCCCCTAACAACCTTTAAAGGCGTGCGCGGCCCTGCATTGAGGCCGCTTTGGACTCGGGAGCATGCAAATCAGCTTCTCTATGTCCGCTTTGGCTCAGGGTTCGAAGGGCAGCCTCTGGGCAGCTTGCTGGCTCGGTATGGCTCGGCTCGGCCAACCCTTGTCATAGTCTCAGGCGACTATAAAGTCGGAAAGGAGATTCTGACCAGAAACTGATTTCAATCGGGTGGCCAAGCAGACCCAGAATCACTGTGTACTGACTTTTAGAGTGTAGTGAGTTTTCGGCCAGGGCCCAGGCGGTCCCTGAATTTAGTTAGGGTCATGTCACGTTCGTCTTTCTGCGCAATGAAATTTCAGGTCAACGCACTGAGGTGTAGCTCAGATCCCCTGCCCCAGTAGTTCTTCATAGTCATCCCGTTGATCCTAAACGTGAATCAGGTCCAAAGCTGGCAGCAGTATTCAAATTGTGGGATCATCGATACCGCTTCTCCTGTTCTCTCTCCTATTAATTCCGGTTATTATCGCTCTGTGATAGCCAAACTTGACCTGGGCACTCCTCAGATCGCGTACGAGGTGTTTCTTATCAGTTGCCGTGCCATCAGATGCGTGGTAGTGGTGTTCCATGCCTTTGTATATACCTTTGTATCTCAGAAACTCAATACACGTTTCGTTGAACTGCATGTTGCTCTCTGCATGGGCCCAGTCGTACATTGCAGACAGATATTCTTGCAACCTTCTTGTAATAGTTATCAGCACCCTAGTGTCGTCCGCAAAGGTCGTACCTCTTCCAGTTAGGCCAGCATTTGTGGTGATGCTCCAGTAACTGGGGACAAACAGGAGCAATTTCGTCTGAAATCATCTTGTCATCTGTTGAAAAGATTAGCTTCCTTCAGGCACTGCACCAACCTCCTAGCAAGGATCTACTCAATCACGTTGATTACATGTGATGTTAATGTCACCGGCCTGTAATTTGGGAGTTTGTCTCTTGCCCCTATTTTGAAGACTGAAATTATATTTGTCACACTTTCGGGTAACTATAGGAACTCTTTCTCTCTCAACGATGTTTTTCAGCGCAAAGCCAGTTGGAGATGCAAAGCAATAAATTAAAGCCAGCTTCTAATTTCAATAGCGCAACTCTTCTTGCCTGAGCAGGTAAAATAATGACATGTAAGAAATTCGAAATTCAAAGATTGCAATGCATCACAGTCCCTGACAAATGTTCTGTTGCTTTCCTATGTTGCGGAAAGAAAAACTTTTAGAATTGGATTTCAAATTGTGGCTTAACTGCGAAAATTATTTCACTTCGAAATGCTCGCATAACAAAAACATACCAAAGTTCCTATAAATACATTGCTGGAAATTAAAGTCAAAATGGTTGGAATTACACCCGGAGTAATCTTTTAGGAAAATTTAATAAGAGTCGAACGTCCGAATTAGTGTGCTTAAATATGATTATGCTAAATTTCTATTTTACTTCATGGCAGAAACCTGCACGGTATGTCATTGTATTGAGGAGTGTGCAATACCATCTATATAATAGTGTGCAATACGATCTATATAATAGTGTGCAATACCATTCGTGCAATACGATCTACATAATAGTGTGCAATACGATCTATATAATAGTGTGCAATACGATCTATATAATAACGTGCAATACGATCTATTTAATAGTGTGCAATACGATCTACATAATAGCGTGCAATACGATCTATATAATAACGTGCAATACGATCTACATAATAGCGTGCAATACGATCTATATAATAGTGCGCAATAGGATCTACAATCTACATAATAGTGTGCAATACGATATGGCAGTTACTGTTTGTGGTATGACGGCAGTTACACGCTACAGTTACATGTATCGGCAGTTACTGATGACGACGACGAATGTTGGCGGTTGAGAGAAAAATTGACTTAGAATGTACATTTAAACATTTTCACGCGACTCGTTGAACATTATTGTTTTATTTGGTTGAATTTCTTCATCTGTATGACAGAAGATTTCGTCGGCAATAGTAAGTAAAAATCATTCCGATTTTAATGTTACATTTTGTAAATGAGTCACAATCATACCGATTGTAAAACATTTTCCAATTTTCCAATTTATTTTGTGCAAAGCTGATGAAAGTTTAGTGAAAATTATTTGTGCCGACTATAGGACTTGTTTCGCTTTTCTTCATTTCAGATGCCAATGCGGTCAGATGCTAGAAATGCTAGGCGCGGGTTCAGCTTATTGAGATAATGAGTTGGGACCGTATTTATTTTGTATAATTATTTAATAGTGCCTGCTATATAATGACAAATATAGTCTTTACTACTTCTTTCAACGTCCTATGAAAGTTAATTTGTTAATGAGTTAATCCAATTATCGAGACCGTGAATATTATTCTCAATTACATGTATACACACAGGATCTGCACGAAGAATTTTTGTTAAGGCCTCAGCCGCCAGTTTTCTTAGCGCCGACGTTCACTTGTAGTTCATTTCCTAACTTTAGTTCAGATGTGCCGTGGAAGCGAAATTTTTCTCTATGTTAGCTTCATGTTCTAATATCTTATCAAAATAAATGAATGCAATTTGAATTATTTTTGGTGTTATCTTATTCCAAAATATTTTTGACAGATTGTAGGATTCGTTATAATGACATTTCGAAATTTAAATTTACCGAAACTGTGTTTACCAAGGACCTTCAATAAAATCTTTTGAAACTAAGAGGTTATAATTTCACCTCAGCCTTCGAATTAACAATGAATATTAATTTTTTTCTACTTTCAATACATATCCTGGATGATATCCATTATTAGTTAGTCAATGAAATAACTAATTACGGGATTGAATGGACCATATGTCGGCCACGGCACCATCACTTTATCTATTGAACCAATTTCCTACTGAATAACAGAAACTCAGATCCTCGTTCTCATTAACTAACTGTGTTCTCTGCAATAAAAAGTTTATTACTCGTAGCATGTTTTATGCTTTGACAATATCAGTTATCTCCTTTTTAATGTTGTAAAAAATGTAAAGTTTCGGCATGTTTTCCAACTAAGACTTCCTTTTTCCGGAAATTTACTGAAGATAATCATGCGAAAATATCTTACTTGGATTAAAATGAGTGGTGAGTTAACAATGCCATACGCGCATTGGTAGACATAGGTGCACCCAAACATAGATCAAATGTTTAAATCATAGATCTATGTATCTGAACATAGGAATTAAATGGGTTCATAGATCATTTATTGTTGTGCTCCCATGTGCACACCAAATTTCACCTGTAATCGAGCTTAAATCTCTCAACTTAAGCGATAAATTTCACATCACTTGTCTTTTTCCCTTAAGACTCAACGTAATATTTTTTATTCAACAGCTCGAGATAAACGTAGGAAAAAATCGGCCCTCAGCATCGAGCATGAAATTTCGCTTTATCAAACATAGTGTTTTAATTTAGCTCTTATTTCTAATGAATAAAATTCATATTAATTTGACCATCAGATAATAGATAGTCTGGCTTCAACACCGTATCTCAATGTATCCGTCGAGCTGAAAGGTCCTAACAACAGTTCTTGTGTAATGTAAGTTCCATGATACGTTCATTGTTGATTTTATATCCACTGTAATGTTGATTCTGCTGCCTGTTTTGTTTGCGTTGTGTTTGGCACAATGAATGATATGATCTATTAAGAACTTCCTACATTTCAGAACCCTCGATTAGTCAACTAAAAATATTCGTGAACCAGCAAATAAGTCAACTTGAGATCTTATGATCTTTGTGTTGCTTGTTCGCTGTCTAAGTTTGACGTCAAATTCTACAGGAAAGAAGATGCGCTGACGCCAATTAAGTTGGCAGCTCATTGCCGAATAATTGAGGCAATCAGTAAACATCAAATGCCATTTTAATAATGGCGAAAGCCATCACAAATAGTGGTGACAACCTTCATAAATAATGGTGACAGCCTTAATAAGTTTCTGCAGCCAAATATTTTATTAGAAGCTATTTATCCTACGAACATAGAACCGTGCTGTATAGCCGTGCATAGAACCCTGCTGTGTAGCCGTACATAGAACCGTGCTGTGTAGCCGTACATTGAACCGTGCTGTGTAGCCGTACATGGAACCGTGCTGTGTAGCCGTACATAGAACCGTGCTGTGTAGCCGTACATAGAACCGTGCAGTGTAGCCGTACATAGAACCGTGCTGTGTAGCCGTACATAGAACCGTGCTGTGTAGCCATACATAGAACCCTGCTGTGTAGCCGTACATAGAACCGTGCTGTGTAGCCGTGCATAGAACCGTGCTGTGTAGCCGTACATCAATCGGGCTAATAACCCTACATTGATCCAGCGCCTAAGGGGTTCTGTTATATAAATCTCAAGCAAACAAATTCATCCAGCGCTCCCTGCTGGGAATGTGATGAAACAAATACAACAGAGGAGCCTCATGGTGACGGGATTATTTGTACATCAACGTAACCATGGTAGTAATTAACTGACTGGATGAATGTAATGTACCGTCCCGCTACGCTGGTGTTGGTGACGATGGTCCACGTCGACCACATGGGCGGGGATCCGGACAATCGTGCTATTTTCTGCCCCAGGTTGAAGTCACTCGTGTTGCTGAGGATCACGTCCATGTATGAAACAAAGCTGGAGGGACCCGTGGCAAAGATCACCTTCTGCACTCGCGTGGTCTGTTCCAAGTCTATCTGCGTGTAGGCGTTTGACTGATTCATCGTCCTGAAGTATGCTGATTGGGAGCAGCCATATCCATCGGTAGCAAACTTGGGGCTGAATTTTGATATGCTGAGAGCCGAGGAGTAATTGAAAGGGGAGTTCGTCTTGACGATGTCCCGGGGGTCCCCCCACGACGTGTAGCAAGCGTCGTACGTTGTGGTGTTCGTAGACGCAGGATGACCCGGCCAGCGCACGGCGACGTAAGCGTTGAACAGCGCGCACGTGCCGTTAGCTGTTAACAATGCAAGTATAGGCAAGTTAGTCATTAATGAATTATAATTTCAGTGGTAAAAATTACAAAATATAATCCATTGGCAAC